AAAAAAAAAAAAAAAAAAAAAAAAAAACACCTGCAGATTTCAAATGAATCAAAACTAGCTACAAGGTTAATCTAATCACAACACAAATAGACCCCTAAAAATCCCCAATGTATACAAATTGACCTATTATTACTCTCCATCATTGAGTCCATCCAAGACAATTGAATCTTTACACTGCCCCTTCAGTGGTTGAGAGCATTTAATAAAGTGAATATGTGAACCAAAGAAACCTGTCTTCTACAGGCCAACCCACTTCACCCATCTGAAAATCCGACCAACCCCCAAGGGCAATCCATAGTCATTAGCAACAGCAGGTTCTCTTCTGGCAACCTCGGCTTCAGACCAAACATATACCCCACGTTCCTGCTTGCTGCCAGGTACGGTGTTATCCAGGATAACAGCGACGAGAAACGCTATCACCATGTGTAGTGAAAAAAGTGTGTTCAAGACATAGTTCAACTGCAAAAGGAACAGATTAACAAGTCATACCAACCATGGAAAATTTCTACCAAGGAGTAAAAGTAATTTTTAACCAGCATTCAAGTGCTAAAATAACAAACATAATTAAGAGTAATACAAATTAATTTATTTTTTTTTTGGAATTTTCTTAACTGAAAATAATAAAAAAATCAGTAAAAAATCTCTCAAAAACACTTTTATCTTGTATCTAACTAGACCCTATAACTAAATCCAAATACATATTAATAGTTAGTTTCACTGCATCATGAATTCTAGATGTCCTATATATCCATATAATAAAATAATTTAGCAACTATAAAATAATGAACAGGTGGGATTCTGTCAAAAATGAAGCTGCCAAGCTGCATATGTAGCAGAAATCATAGTCAAAATTACAGAGTAATAGGCAATTGACCTTGAAATATAAGAAACTAACTAACTATTCCCTATTGAAGGTGGGTAGTTTCTACATCCATTCACAAGATCACGGAATAGAATGTAATGACAGTTTTCTGAGCCACGGCCACCTAGAGAGACGAAAGTGGCCTTTGGATTACTGTTTATCTTTTCTGAAAATCTTTCAGTAGTTAACAAATTTTGGGATCAAAATTTAACACAAATAAATTTAAGCATGATATCCATAATGGTAAAAAAGCATGACACAGGCATACCCCTGCATATTTGCTGTGGAAAGGCCCATGAGAAGCCACAATGTAGGGCTGAAAATAACTTGGCACTGACAAGTTGGAATTGGGAGAGAGACCATATTGTTGAAAGTATGCAGGTATGGAAAGAGAGAAAAACAATGATAACCCAACAATGATGATATTGCGAGAGCTTCCAGCCTCACTGTAGCGTAGATTTGACAAGCCCAATGCGGTGAGCATTGCCCACATAAAGCAGAGGAGACCAGCAACCATGACTTCAGGAATTGAAGCAATGAATCCTCCAACCTTACCTGTTGTGCAGAATAAGCAAAATTAAACATGGGTAATTTGCAAGAGAAGATTTTCCATAGGAGAGAACAAAAGTATATTAAATGGAGACAAGAGAAGCCAGCAAAATAACAGACTGAATAAACCACATATCCTCATTGTCTTATGGCTAATTTATGCTGTTTGGATAACATTCTCCATAAGCACTTATAGAAGAAGAAAAAAATCTCCCATTAACTAAAATTAATTTATGCGTAAGTTAAAACTAGCTTTTTGAAGAAGCTAAAATCAATGGAAAAGTGTACCCAAATAGGACCCAAGTGCAAATTGCAATAGCCATTTGTCTAGCCGAGAATTTACATGGAATTAGAAAATTAGAATTCACTTGGACGTCATAATGAATGAAATTAATGAAAATTTTGTTATTCTACTGCATCTAAATCTTAAGGTAGCCCCTGATTTCAAGAAATGATGCCTACAAACATCAAATGTTTTTACATAAAACAATTGTCCTAATGGCTGCAGACCAGCAAAATGAAATTTTTGTATCACTGGGAAACCAAAGAAATTGCAAAAATTAAGCATAGGTAACCCAAATTTTCTTTTCATCCCAATAACGCATTGCTCATAATAAGTATACTTCCAATGAAGGTTAGATTCAAAAACAGAAAGATACAGAACTTACCCACAAGAGACAAAACTATCAGAAAGCAGGCACCTAGTTGAACTGCCCGGCGGCTTCCCATTTTAGTCACAGCAATTGTGTGAACATTTTCAGTTAATGTTGTAGAACCAGTTCCAGTTCCCCAAAGACCAGCCAAGACACTAGAAAGACCTTCCAAACCGATTCCTCGACTAAGAACTCCAGGAGTTGGCGGTCTGGATGCTACCAATAATGAAGATGCATGGTATGAGCCAACCTACAAAAATTGAAGTAAATGAGTATCAATAACAGTACAGGGATTAATTACAACTTACAATCCTGCATCTAGAGAAAAATACAAGGAACATATTATTCTAATTGAAATATTATACAGTTATTCTCTACTAGAACAATTCCTTATTATTTGATTAATCACAGTGGTTATTTGCAGCATCAAAATTCTAAAAATTTTAGCAATTAAAGAATTATTGCCATTGATCCAGTCATTTCCTAATGTGGAAAAAAGAATGGCACAAAGAAAAGACATTGACCATGTAAAAAATGTGACAAGTTGACAACCATAGTTTTTAAGTTTGGATCTGATAATCTATCATTTCAATAGCCAAAGTTTTCCACCTTCATTGACAAAACATTCACTTAAAATGAATTTACAAATACTCTTAACTTGTAAGTGAATAATAGCATATGCAAGTTTCATATTTCACAATCCAAGCCATCTTTTTTGTCAAACATATATCATAGTAGGTCCAAATCATAATTTCCCATTCAATCCTGTATCACATCCAAGAAAAAGAATGGCCTTATAAATACAATATTGCTAAAACATAGTTATGAAGATGGTACAAGGGCCCTGCAGATAATTAGTTTTTTTCTTCTAAAATAACACAAGCAATTCAAATGATCAACATGTCCAAAACAGAGAAAGACAAGAAACTAACCGAATCTACAGATGAGATTAAGGAAACCACACACATTACAAGAGCCATTTTCCAGTGGAAGACAGGAGTACCCCATTGTAGTGGATAAGGAAACCTAAACCACGGAGAGGATTTCAATGCTTGAGAAGTATCGACCCGACAGTGCCTCATCCTTGAAAAATGCTTTCTGCAGTGCTCTGAAACCATATTTGAGGCAGGTATATTTGTATCACACCCTTTGTAGCTGTAAGCTCCTGCTTCAGTCAGCAAGAAAGCAAATGCCCATGTAATTGCCAGACCCAGAGGAACCTGGCAGTTAGGTGAAGAAAACAGAAATTATTCGCTACACCGCAATTTAATTTCAACTACTGGAGCAACTGAAGATATTGTAACGTTCAACTTACCGCATATATTAGAAATATGCGATGTCCAAGAACAGATATCTTACGAAGATACTGTGAAAAGCAAGAAATATTATATTACAAATTGTACTACTAGTACAATGCAAGCAATATGATATACACACTTAAGATTTTTAAAATAAAGCATAAATAAATGAGTCCATATTAAAAAAAAAACACTCAAAGTCACATATACAAACTTACAAGAGAAAAAACAATAACCACTAATATCTGTACTGCACCAATCTCAATACATGTACCGACTAATGGGAAACCATAACTGTAGAATGAAAGTCCAACTGCAGCAATAGTTGGGGATACAACTACAGGATTGATCAACCTGTAAGGAAACACATAAAATGAGGCTCATTAGTCATTATCAGCTACAATGAACAAAAATTAAGATGTGAATTCTGAAATTTGATGATTTTATTTCAGTCAACTCGGACAGTAAAGTGATCTAAATTTAAAAATTGTAACAGATGGCAAAGGGCATAGTTTCACATTGCACCAAAACAAAAAGGGGGGGAGAATGATATTCAAACAAGGCATATGTAAACTTTTGAAACAGCACTTTTTCATGGAAGAATGATTACAGAAACTTAATCATGAGAACTGACAGTTATCAATACTCTAGACCGACAAATTACCAAAATTAGATAATAATCTTAAGGTTTAAATACCCATTTGATCTCTATAGTTTCATAAACTTTACCTTTTAGCACTTATGGATATAAACATTTCATTTTAGTCTCTATATATACCATTTTTTTCCCTTTTAGTCCCTTCTTTATATTTGCTATAGGGACTAAAAGATAGAGTTTATGAAATTACATGGACTAAAAGGAAACAAAAATGATATGTATAAAAACTAAAATAAAACGTTTTTAACTATAAGGATTAAAAGATAAAATTCATTAAACTATAAGGACTTAAAAGGGTAGTTAAACCTAACCTAAATTTATCCAAAGAAAAATACATCATTTCCTTCCTTTCAAAAGTACTTATAAACTATTCTAAAAGTACATTGCTCTCATAGATAATTTTATTTAATATATTCACCACTCTATTAGGGGATATGGAAATTCTTTTAGATTTGCTACACGAATCCCCTTTTAAAAATTGTTTGCATGAAATTAATAGTATTAATATTATTATAGACTAAATGTTAATTTCTTATATCCTCCTGTATAGTTTTATTGTTTAATCATTTATTTATTAAGAAAAATGCTGATAAGAGTTGGCCCATCTAGTATGATGATTGTGTCAACACCAAGGTATTGGGTTCAATTCTTGTTGGCCTAAGAAGCCTGGATACATAATACGATACAAATAAGCATACAGGGATATGGAAATTCTTAAAAAATCAAAAAACAACAGTCAGGATATATTAACAAAAATTATATGCGTGTAAAATTTAATTTTAAAAAGACACTTACATCACTAATTGCTTATTAATATAATAATACATGAACATATCAATCGTTAATAGATGATGACCACAATCTACGAAAAGGATAATTGTGATCATAACAATTAACGAGCATAGTTACATACATATTTTTTCCCTACCCATTTGTGAAAATGGGTGGCATAGCAAAGTGATTTGTGAGTGACTAATAGGAATGAAAATGCGTTAGATCAGACTTTGAATATATAGGTTAAGTTTGTTCTAAAAAATTAAAACATACATTTGGCCTATTATCTATCATGGGTTTTTTTTATAGGTCTAGCTGACCTTTTTAAAATCCGATCCATTAGCCTATATAAAAGTCTATTTTATATTAATAATGTTAATTAGGCTAATAGACTTAATTTTAAAAAAAGGCAACAAATATGTACTAAGAGTTATTTTTTAATTTGTGTAATAAAATATAGTTTATTCAATATTATTAAAATTTAAATTTTGAAATATATATAATGTCACAAAGAGGAGAAAAATGAATCATTTTCTGTTAGAGAGACAATTCATGCATAGTCATGTATGTCTGCATATACTCAGGTACAAGTCGTAAATGAAAAAAGATAATCATATAAAAAAAAATTTAAATGTTTCCTATATCTAATTTAGTATATTCTAAATAACCAACTCATATTTTAACAAACTAAAATAATTATGATAATAATTTACAAACTAAAAAAATAGGCATACCAAATACATATACAATGTCACAAAGAGGGAATAGATGAAACTGTTTTCTATTAATGGGATAACTCATGTACACTGACATACACTTACCATGGACTATAATGAAAGAGGATAATCTATTCAAATAATATATGTATATTTATTTTTTTAGTATATTATAGAGATAAATAGACAAACTTTTTTATATAAGTCTAAGCTCAACCTTTTTAAATAAATAGGTTTTTTTAAAACCTAAACATGATCTTTTTATTAAAGAGGTCAGGTTAAACTTTAAAAAGGTCAGGCCACATGTCTCTATTTTAGGCTTGATCTATTCTCATCTCTAGTGACTAGGGTGAATGAATGGAGTGGAAGAGAGGATAAGAAGAAACATTTGGTATTGGGTTTGTCATTTGCAAGCCCTAACAATGATAGGGGGGCTCTTTTTTGTTGCACCATTTGAAACAACTTTCACAGTAAGAAACTTAAAGTAAAAAGTGAAGGTAGCGCTGGCAAAGCAATCCATCAACCATCCAATATTTACAAGTAAATTCATTAAATCTATCAATTAAAAAAATATAATAATAAATAATAGATTTAATCTAATCCATCTATTTAATTTTATGGATAGTTAGTAAAAATAAATAAAACCCATTAGATAGTTAGTATTCTATCTACTATTTTTCAAAATTCATTGGATTACATTAAATAAAACCCATTAGATAATAAACAAAAAAAAATGTTGATCAAGATCGAGCAGAAGATGTTCTAGCTGAAACCAAGCTGAAGATGCTTTGTCGAGTCAAAGCAGGAAATGCTAGTCAAGCATGAGTTGAAAATCCTCCAGACAAGATTAAGTCAAAGATGTTCAAACCAAGGCCGAGTTGAAGAAGTTGGTCAATGTTGAGCAGAAGATGCTCCATTCAAGGCCAAAACGAAGGTGCTCCAGCTGAGGCCAAGCCGAAGATACTCCAGCTGAGGCTGAGTCAAAGATGCTCGAGTTGAGGCCAAACCACATGATCTGGTTGAGGCTAAACAGAAGATGCTTGGGGCGAGGACATGTTGAAAATGCTCTGGCCAAAACCAACCTAAGATGAGCCAACGATGCCCTGGCTGAAATCGAGTTGAAGATGCTCTTGCCAAAGACACTTTTGCTGAGGCCGAGCGAAAAGTGTGTGCCTCGGCTGAGCCAACAATGTTGGCCGAGGCCGAGTGGATGATGTTCCGGTTGAGGCCGAGCAAAAGATGCTTAGGCCATGATTAAGCCATGCTTGAGAAGGCCAAATTGGAAATATTTTTGAAACAGTCATAGTTTTTTTTTATTTTCAAAAAAATTATGGATGCACAAGATATTCATCCATAAAAAAATTGTTAATGGATGAATTGAATGAATTTTATTAAATAGATCACAGACGAATTGGATTTATTTTAATGAAATATTTTTACTGGATACAAATGGGTTGTTTTTAATCAAATCCATTATAATCCTAATTAAAATTTATTCTCAATTAAGCAGAGAATATCACAATGTCATACCTTACTAACAGCGACATAAGTCCAGTATATCCAAGTAAAGCTTGAAAAGCTGATCCAATAATTATAGCCCCCTGGAGCTCCTTCATTATATGCTTGAATTTCTTCAAATTAAGAAAGAAATCTTATCAGCTATCTATGCTCCAATCTTTCCATCAGAGAACTTACAATACAACACAACTCCCTCAAGAACTCATGAATAAGTAAATAGAATTAGAAAGCATTGCAATAACACAACTTTATCAGAGGAAACCAATATCCAGACAACAATCGATATCTTCAGGACCCAAATTTCCGTAATCAGAAATTCAACGCATTCACGCAGTCAGTCAATCAACACCATTGAATGAAAATCGAACTCTTGCAAATTAAATCACACTTAAAACACACCGATCTTCATTCAACAGCAAACCCACCAATTCATGACCGCGTGCGTGAATGCGTGATTGCAAGGAATTCATTTCATATCTTGTGAAACATCAAGAAACGGGAAGAGATACAAACATTTCCATTCAGTGCTTGAAACTCCGGGGAGTTGATTATGGCGAGCGCGGGTGCGAGGTAAACAAAAGAAGGGCCCTGAATCAAGGGCAACCTGGAGCCAAAAGCAATATGCAAGAGAGTAGTCACCCCCGAGACAAAGAGCACGGTCGATACCACCATAGAAGTATCCTCCTACACTCACTAACACATCAACAACTTCGCCACTCAAACACACAACACGAAAAAACCAACTAAGCCAGACGAAAACAACTCACATGAGTGCCTCCCATGGCCGGAACAATCACAAGCGGAATCAGAACCAACGAACCTAATATCGAAAGATACTGCTGAATACCGTACACGCCAATAGGAACTACAATAGTAATTATAAATTAGTACCACACGTGAAAATCGAAATCAAATTTTCAATTCAAACCACAATTGAATCAATACCTAGACCAGGTGAATCTCTGAGGTCGTACTTCATATGCGAGTGCCGCGACACAAAACCGTCGCCGTCCACCACTTCCTCGTGCCTCTCCGTTCTCCGTGGCGGCGGCGGCGGCGCCTGTCCGTTGGTGCTGAGAATCGAGGTCTTGGGAACGCCGTCGGAGTCTCTCCGCTTCTTCGGAGGAGGAAGAGCCTTGTCGCCGTTGGCGGTTGGCGGAGGCGTAACGCGACCGGCCTCGAGATCGAGGTTGGGGTCGGGCTCCCTGGGCTTGGGCTTGGGCGTGGTAATGGGACCTGAATCGGCGGCATTGGTCTCGCCGGAGAATTTGGGCCTGAAGCCGGTTTTCTTGGCCCATGAAGAAGGCGGCATTGGGTTTGGGTCCGGCGGTGAAGGAGTGCGGTGGTTGGGATCGGAATTGGACATGTTTGAAAAATGGAAGAAGCTATGGCTAGTTATGCATAGCTTCAGCGGTTACAGATCTAAGAATGAGTTGAGAGTGGAGAGTGGAGAGAGTGGAGTGGGGCTGAAGCTGAACTACAAGTCTAACAAGCCGTTGTTATTTATTACTCTCTCTTGTTCTGTTCTTTCCCGGGACAAACGGTGGAGTTGAAAATTCGGATTTAGATTGTGGAGAAAACAACACAAACAAACAAAATGCTAAGAATTCTTGTGTCCTTCTCAAACGGGGCAACGTTTATTCCCTATTTCTTTTCATATTTACAACTATTTTTTTATAATACAAAGTACAAACCATCCATTTTAATACAAATTAATTCTATTCACTTGTATTTTAATCTACTCATTTTTTAATGTGATCTCTTCTTGTTTAACGAATGTCTTTCTCTAAGATAAGTGTATTTTATCATTTAGCTCCAATACAAAACTAGTTAATGTATCTTTGGAATAGATTTTTAAAATGTGAATTTTACAGTCCTTCACCATATGTTTGATATGTAAATTACGCATTAATTTCTCATACACGTGGATCGATTTTGAATAAATGTGAAATTAAATATGTTCTTAAGGATTAATTTAACTTATTGCTTTTTAAAAAAAAAAAAAACAACAACAACGCTCGCCTCATTTTGAGGTGAAATGAAAGTAAAAAGGGAAAATATACTAAGAAAAAAATATATAACATATCTATATCTATATATATTTTAAAAGTAGAATAGTTTTTTTTTATTTAAAAAAATTGCTCAAAATTACTAAACTCAAGCCCTTTTTTTCCTAAAATTTTTTAACCATAAACGTTTTCTATGAATTTTTAAATAAATTTATTAACATTTAATAAATTGAATCATGTCAATCAAATATAAATAGTTTTTTATTGAAAATTTGAAATATATGCATATGATTTTTTTTAATACAATTGTACATTTAAAATTAATTTATCTATATATATATATATATATATATATATATATATATATCAAAAGTAAAATATTCTTCAAAAAAACCCGCTCAAAACTACATAGTTTTGAGTCCATTTTTTTTTCTAAATTTTTTTCCCTTTTAAAATTTAAATATTTTTTATTAATTATAAAATAAATATATTTATATTTAATAAATTGAACTATATCAATTAAACAAAAATAATTTTTCATAGAAAATTTGAAATATCATAAGAAAATATATATGATAGTGAGAAAACTATTCTACCTTTAATATTTAATAATATGTAGATATAGATATAAATATGATGAATTTCATTCACTTTTTTTTTCTTTTCATCTCCTATATTCCTTTAATGACTCTGAGAAATTGTTATATAGTCTTTACAAAGTTTTATTCATTTTCACTTTTTAAGATTCACCTTTCTTGTTGTGTCTTCATTTACCTTAGTTATTTTTTGTTACTACATTTCTTCAATGTCACTAAGTAATTGTTATAGGATCTCTACAAACTTTTTTTCACCCTCATTCCCTTTTAGATCCACACTATCTATTACCTCTTTATTTACTTATCGTTTCTTTTTCATTATTTATATTCACAATCTATTGGCATACCTTAATGTACATTGTTAATAACTTTTATGCATTTTACTTTACTTTTTTTGTTTTCTCTACCGTTTTCTTGTAGTTGGAATTTTGGGTGAACATCACGCATACAAATTGAACAAATATAGTAGATTTTACTGTTTATTTCTCTTGTTTATATTTTCTTATCAACACTTCAATGAGTTAATAATTTGTGATTATTTGAAAATAGTTCATTTTCTTGCATTAATTATTTGATTGTTCAATTCACTTCACAAAAGAAGAAAGTCTTAAAACATCAGAGGAGGAAATACTTTGTTGACTTGATAATATATTGTTTTTTTAATACATTTTACAACAAGGCCCCTTTGTTTATAAAATTGATTATAGTTATCTCAAAACATCATTGAGGAAAAAATATTTTAATGGTATAGAAAAAAAATTGAGATAAGATATGTGACACCCTCTACCCCCAATGCAATTTCATACACAATCAACGACTATAAACTTTAGAATTTATAACATTTGTAATGTTCACATCAAGTTCAAATAAAAAACAATATTCAAGATATCTTCATAACATAACTAAAATAATATTCAACACTAAATGTAATTTGAACTAGTAATAAATCCTAAAGTACACTCACAGGTGTCACATCTCATCATAGCATCCATAATACTCTATAAGGCTCATGCCTCATCACCTTTATCACTAACACGATAGTCATTACATGCAACACACTCAACATGAGATAATAGAAAATAAAGGAGAGTAAGAAATGTTTCACTCTAATATAATCAACATATACATAATTAAAATATAACATAAATACAAATTCAAGTCAATATTAACATATTCACATGATTCACTGTCCATTATATTCATAGTAGTACAATTAATTTTCACATTCCTAATTAATTAATACACACCTCTATTAATATCAATCACCCCATAGTAAAAAATTTAAACCACCATAATGTTAGTCATAATTTCATGACTCATCCTCATGGCCTTAGTCTCATGGTTAAATTTACATCTTTTACTCACACAACACATACCACATTCTTCTTCTTACACTTAACTCTCACACATAATAATCATCGCATACTTAAGAACATATCCATTAACAATTAATAGACTTATCATACTCATTACTCATCCCTTATAGTTATACAACACAACTTAACAATCACAAAACAAATCCTCATTACTCATACATAATATATAACAATCCTTAAGTTCACATGATTCACACGCATATACGTTAAATTGGGTTCCCACGTTGGTGTGAGTCAACTCATGTCCAACAAAGTACCACAAAGGCATGTTGGAGTTTGCACGATGTAGCTACTCCCACACTTGACACTATTACCATAGAGAGCAACACATGCTCCTTATCACAGTTTGCGATAAAATTTGCAATTATGCAATTCATAGTGAATTGTGATGGTGTCGGACACAAGGAACGGAAACATAAGAATTTCAGGATGTTATATATAAATATATGATGAATAATTTAAAATTATAATCAATAATTAATTTTTTAATAGAGGCAATATTATATATTAACATTAATTATAGTAAGTTTAATAAATACACCAAACTCAGTATTATATACATTATTTTATAAACTTTATATAATAAACTTTTTCTATTATAAATTTAAAATAATAACATTTTAAAACTATAAAAAAAATTACACTTAAACACATTAAATTAATAAATACATAATAATTTTTAATTATTTTTTATTAATTAATATGATATAAATTGTTATTTAAATTAAATATCTCATGTATCACACAAATAACCATACCAATAATATGTAAAGAGAAGAAGAAAAAAAAAAGAAATGTGACTAATGATATGAAAAATGAAAAGAAAAAGAAAAAGAGATGAGATAAAAATGAGTATTAAGAATGTAAAAATCATTTATAAGTTTTTTTTAATAAGAATATTAAGGAAAACAAACTATAAATTAGAAAAAAGTTGTACATCCAATACCTACGGTTTTGAATTAAATTAATTTGTATAATTTGTTCAATCTTTATCTATCGTTAGGCATCATTCTTGTAGTTTGACCTCTTTATTATCTCTCAACAAATTCTTAAAGATATAATTGTATAATAATTAATTAGTAAATTATTTTATATATATATATATATATATATATATATATATATATATAATCATTCTCAATACGTTACATTCGGTGCTTATTTCATTTTTCTCATCTCTACACCATAAATTCTAACATGTATTAGTACAATTAGTAATTACAACACACATGTACATATATAAGCACTAGAATGATACTTGAAGCATATCATGTGAATGATGTTAAAACTTAAAAAGAATGGTTGTTGAAATAATAAATTAATTTTACTAGAAAAAGAAATATCCCATTAAATAAAATAAACAAAGTTGAACAACATAATAAATGATTCATGCAGTTAATGTTTTGAGATTTCGATTTCGACGTGACGCCTATAATTTGTGACCATGGATGTTTTTTCTAATATTTCATTCATATCGTATCAGAGTATAGTCTTAACTACCAGTTGGAGATTTTTTTAAGGGTCTACCCCATTAGGAAATGTTGTGGATTGTGGGCCCAATAATTTTTCTTTTCTTTCATCAATTTCTTTGTGAATGTTACATTGTGAGGAACAATTTAACAAATGATTATTGAACAGATCACTAAATCTGCTCACAAATTGGCCAAAATAATTTGTTCTGAAACTATTAAGAGTATGATAAAAATAATAGTGTAATACATAATACTTATCTGCATATATCTTTCTTAAAAATTATTAGTACGTGTCAATTTTCTTATATTAATTTTGCATCAGTTGATAAGTTAACAACATGTATATATCATTTTATGAATATATATATCATGCAAATATGATTTGTCTTGCTTTAGTTTTCATTTTTTTTTACTTTTAAATCATTGATATTTTATTGTTGTCCATTTTTAGTTTTTATCATTATTTCTAACAAGTATTTCAATTTAAATATTTATTATACATAAATAAAAATAAAATTTATAATAAATTTATTTTGTTATATTTAAATATATAAATCATATTTTAAATTTATGATAAATAATTTATATTGTGACATTCAAAAAATATTTTTAATTATAATTTATTTTGAAAGCATTAAAAATTAATTTATAAATAAACATGATAAATAAAAATTGAATTAAATAAGAAGTTAATTTTTTTTTAAACTCTTCCATTGAAAAAAATATATTTAAAAACACTCTCGTTGAAGAGAAGTTCTTAAAAATGTTTTTACATAAAATAATTTATTATATTTAATATATAGAGTGAATTAATTTATTAAAGACATTACTAACAAAATGAAGAATATTAATTAAAATAATTAATATAATGATTATTTTAAAATTAAGATAATTAATTTATTTTTAGGTGCATTAATTAATTAATTCATCTATTTATTTTTGTATAAATAAGAGAATTACAAATCATTTTTTATAATTTATTTAATTTCAATATATTATGAAAAATATTTTTATTTTTTAATATAGTTCTTACTTTCAATTGACTTTTGACATTGATTTTTTTATTTAAAATAATATTATAATTTACTCAAATGCTTATGATGTTTTTTAAT